CGTTAGCACTAGACCAAGTGCGAAGAAACCTGAAAGGTCTTCAGATTCAATAATAAAGCAAGTTAAAAATTTGCAAGATAAGTTGTTTAGGGAAAAAAAGTTTAGTTCCCGATTACAATACACCTGTTTTCACAAGTGTAAAAATACAATAAAAAAATATTGAAACTATTCTATGCCGAAATTAATCGAAACAACTCAATTAAACCAACCATGTTCAAATTAAAAGAGAAGAAAAATGCGTGCGCTGTGGAAATTCAGCCAACAAATAATAAGCAGACGAACGATAGTCTGGTAATTGAATTTATTCGGACATAAATTAATCAATTTGCAATAAGTACAGCTCCTGGTCGGATATGAACCCCGAACCCAGCTCCTGGACGTTATCTTATGAGCGTTACATATTCGCAAATAGGTCAAATTTAGTAGCTAGAACTTGATATATTAAGGAAGTCACCTCATCCAGTGAATGAAGTTTTGAACAGAAAACATGTAGTATCCTGTTGAAATACCCTTGTAAATCGCAAGGGTTAAACTAATTCATCTGTTCTGTGGAGTAGTATGTGGCTGATTAATTCAGAAGCAAAATTCTCGATCTGTTTTGAATATCAGTTCCGTTTTTAAAGATTTTCAACTTTTTATTTTCTATTTTCAAACTAATGCCACAATGCAACCTTTTCGTGAAATCACCAGACAGCACTTATTATTGGAAAAACATTCTAAAAACCTTTGCGGTTTTATCTATGTAGTTTTCAAATCATTACAAATGAGTTCGGTAATTAACAATTCAAAATACTTGCAAAAATGTTATTCGTCGAAATTCGTATACATCAGAAAAAAAGCAATTCATGAATTAAATATCTCTGAAAAATGGTTTGAAAATTCTTTTAATAGAAAATGCTGTAAATAGAAAAGTTTATTATCCACCAGAATTCGAACCCCATTTCTCGTGTAAGACAAACACATTATTGACTGAGCTACTCAACTTTTCAAAGACAAGCAAAAAAATGGCAAGCCAAGGGAGAGCTTTAAAACTGCGAGTAATAAAACCGACCAAGGGATTCGCCCCGCGGACTTCAAACTTATGAAGCCTTCGTTTTCCTGAATGAGCCTATGTTGTTGTTGTTGTTGATGGAGCTCGTCATAGATGATATGAGGGACGTAAACGTCCTGTTCGGCCAATAAACATTAAAACTTTGTCCGGATTTGTTTGCAAAACTGAGATAATGGGGTTTGAGCCCAAAGTTAACAATCTTTCTTCATTCCATTTATCGCATTTCAGGATGAAATGCTCTGTGTCTTCAACTTCTTCACTGTCACACTGACGGCACTGCGGAGATTCAATACGACCAAAGAGATGCTCAGTTTTAGCTAGGTTACACTACATCGATTCACCCGGAGCCTATGCAACAAAACTTCCTCTTCTCTTGAACGATTAGTTGAATGCTCCAAAGCCATGCCATTACAAATTCGTCTGTGTAAGTGATCTTCGTCCACTTTTTGCCGGTAATCTTCTAGTGTCACTTCTTCTCTATTCGTCAGAATAAACTCTTTCGTACTGAGATTTTCTGGTTTATCTTGGATCATCTTTCTAGCGGTAACTCTCCAGTCCTGACGAAATCTGCTATCCCCTCTCGCTTTCAGTCTCTGAGGCGGGCCGTCATCTGTCAAAAGATGCAGATGATGATCTATCGGGAACCGGAGGAACTTACTGTACAAAATGGCTGCCTTTTCGTCACTGTACTGCTTCAACGAAGAAAGCCTTGCCTCAGCGCGAGTAGCGACGGCATTGGAACTTGCTGGCGTGCCACAAATAATTCTTGCTGCTCTGTTGTTGCATGCCTCCAGTTTATTCCAATTCGAGTCCGAGAGAAAAGAACCCCAAACTTCACTGGCGTAAAGTGCTCCTGGCTTGACATAGGCATTATACAATCTTCTAAGGTCAGTGGATGTCAGACCCCAGTTCTTCCCTGACAAACTAGAAAGCAGTTGTGTCCTTTTCCTCATCTTCTTCACCATGATGTTTGTGTGTTCGGAAAACGTCAACTGTGTATCAATGTTGACACCCAGAATCTTGATATGCTTGTTGAAAGGAACTTGTGTGTTCTCCAGAAGAAGAGCTGGCTGTGCTTTGCCTGCCGTCTCTCTCGGGTCCAGGCTGATCACTAACCCCTCAGTCTTCGACGGTTCAATGAGCATATAATGATCACTCGCCCAAGAACTGACGCTATCCAGAGCTGGTTGCATTCTAGCTGCTGCTGAATCAGGAGAAACATCCTCATTATAAAGCGAATAATCATCCGCAAATTGGGCACTTTTCGTGTCTGGAGCATTTTGAGCAATCCTTGTAGGCAAACTAGCCGTAGCAAGACAAAAAAGCAAAGGGGACAGAGGTGAGCCTTGTGGAACTCCCTGCTGAAACACCTTATACTTGGAAAGAGAACTGTTCCATCTGACACACGCTCTTCTGTCGCTAAGAAACGACTTGATCCACCGCAGGCAAGTAGGATGAAGGCCAGCTTTCGCTAAGTCTCTAAGAAGACCACCACGCCACACCCTATCAAACGCTCCTTTGAAGTCAACTGCCGTGATCACTGTTCGCTTCTTCATCTGTAAGTTGTCGAATGCCTTTTGGCTGAGATTAGCAAGAACATCTGTTGTGGATCGTTTGGCACGAAATCCTGACTGACAATCTGGAATCATGTGAGTACTCTCGGCCCAATGACGAACGCGGGATTCCATCAAAGACTCCAGAACTTTGGCAATACACGGCAACAGAGAAACTGGCCTATAACTCTTTATCTGAGAAGGCGGTTTACCATTCTTCAAAATTGGCACAATGACTGCACGTTTCCAGCAATCTAGAACTTTTCCTAGACGTAAGCTCTCATTGAAGACACGAAGCAGAAACAAGATGCAATTCTCTGGCAAGTGCTTGATCATCTGGGGAACAACTCCATCTGGGCCGGCAGCTCCATTCTTCATCTTCTGTAAAGCTCTTGCCAACTCGTCTTCGGTGAAACTGTCACCCAGCTCATCTTCCGAAGTTTCTTTCAGACTTTCTCTAGTCGCTAGGTAAGCTTCCTTGGAGTCCTCTCAAGTGATCTGGACCTTGCTGGCTGCGGCATACGTTTTCACTGCAAGTTCCGCTTTCGACTTGTCAGTGACAGCAGTCTTGTCCTCGGCACACACTGGATTGTCTGGCAATCCCAGTTTCTTCCTGCCATCCATACTTTGAAGCGTGCGCCAGACCTTGGTACTAGGAGTCGCCGGAGACAACGTGTCAACAAACTCCCGCCAACTACGTCGTTTTTCTTCTCTGATGGTATCAGCAAACATCTTCTTCGCGTTCTTGTACCTTTCCACATTTTCTTCGCAAGGGCTCCTCCTCAAGAGACTGAAAGCATCCTTCATAGACCTCTTCGCGCTCTCGCAGAGACTAGACCACCAAGGCTTTCTGTTGCCACCAACCTTAGTGAAGGGAGTTGACTCCTTAGCTGCCTTCTGCATCGTCTCGATCAGGACCTTGTAATTCTTCTCCAGTGACATATCTTCATTCCACTCTGACAAACTCCTGTCACACACACTGCTGTACTTCTCCCAGTCCGTTTTGTTGAAGTTATACTTGCGTTTTGTCTCTTCTTCTTTCATCCCTGAAGAGCCAATGACCAGTTGAATTGGCAAATGATCGGAACCAATGGTCTCCAGCACATCCCAAGAACAACTACTCGCCACAGAACTGTGTACAATGGTGATGTCGGGTGCTGTTTCCACCATCGCGTGACCCAGCTGCCGAACACGTGTAGGAATGCCACTATTCACATGCGCCATACTGTTGTCAATCAACCAGTCGTCAATTTCTTCTCCCAACTGATCGGAATCTCTGTTCGCATCCCATGAACCATGCGCATTAACATCCGCACAGATAACAGAACTCTTCTCTTTAGGCCAATGGTTCAAATACAACGCAGCATCTCTCACGTCTGCACCACCAGTAGCAGGAGGACGGTACATATTCCAGAGATTCATCCAGCCATGCTTGGTCTCCACTGAAACTCCCAACGACTCCAAAGCAGCTCCTGTCGGAAGATTCAAACTTTCTAACCTGCGTGACTGGACTCCAGGTCTGACGAGCACCGCCAAACCTCCTTGAGGTTGCTCATTCTGCACCAGATGAACCGTGCGTTCTGCTCTATGGACTTTCCACCCATTAGCACTAGGGTCAGCAGTAGAACTCATCAGCTTCGTCTCTTGCAACAACGCAACATCAATTTTCTTCTCGTCGAGAAATTCGTTGAGACTAGTGACCTTACCTCTCCAACCATCGATGTTCAGCTGCAAAATCTTCAAACATCTGGGCACTGGAGTCGTCACTCTTGGTCTCCGAGTTTGGGTGGCTGGCTGCAGAACTGCAACTGGAGCAACAGGGACAGTGGGAACTGTAACACACCCACAATGCCACCTGAAATTCTGATGTGCTCTGATCTCTTGGGTCGACATCCCTGCGCAGCGCTGATGTATCCAATTCTTGCAATCAACACAGTAGATAGACCAGACTCTGCTACTAACCGCCTCACCACAGTATCCACAAGGCCATTTCACCGGCCCCGGATTCAGCTCGATATCCCCTGCCAGAATTAGAAGCCACCATAGATCGGGGTCACTATGGTGCTTCAGCAAAAACCCGCACTGGTTTCCATGTGTTTTGGCCAAACACTCTTTGATATGGGAAATTTGAGATCCTTCTGCAAGGATCCACACCTGCCGCCACGTGAAGGCTTCCCAAATAGCAGGCCTATCCTAGCTCCCCTATAGAGTTTATACATCACCTAATGGTAAACACTAATCCTCTGAGTGGAGTTTAAATCTAGTCGATTCCAGCTTTAACATAATCACACATATATCCTGATCTAAACTGAAAATTGAACAACTATAAAATCAGTCAATACGGACTCAGCTTTGAGATTCTGTCAGACAGTTGAATAAGTCAGAAAGTTAAAAAATCAGACAGTTAAATAAGTAAATTCATGGAGTGAGAAATTCATAAAACACTGATTGAAAATATTGCTCAACTTCTAGCCTTTAAAAATAAATAATACAATATAACAAACAGATTTGACAACTCAAAATGGGATAAAGAGCTTCAACAACTTCAATTCTTTTCATGTCAAATTCACGACTTATTGAAACAAAAACAAATCACAAAGGCTGAGTATTTTCACAGAATAAATAAGTTAAACTACGTAAGTAACAAAAAGTAACTAAATAACAGCTAAATAGAACTATCTAATCATTTAAAAGAAGCAATTAGCTTGTGAAGTTAGTTTCTGGCAAGATTGTGAAGAGAACATTTTTCCATCAATTCACAGCAGCTAAACCAGACGCTAATTTCTTTTTCATTTGATTGGACACTAGTTTCTTGTTTTTGGATCCTATCGGTTCCAGAGGAGCTGGAAAATTTGCCAAGAATCCACAATTACAATCTGACGAAAAATAAGGCATCGAAAGAGCGGTTACCGCATTGCATCTCTTGTCAATGTCATATTCCAGCATGGACGCTAGTAACGCATATGCATGCACACACATAATTTTCATTTCTCGTCTCAATTTCTTACCAGCTGCTGCCGAAAACTGTTCACGAGTCACTGAGCAGCTTTTAGGCCAAATTCTTGCCTCGGGAAGACCCAAAAATGATACAATCTGAGTCAAAATCTCAATTTCCGAGGTGCCTTGGATCAGAGGCACCCGCTTGAAAAGCTGACACATGACCATCCCAAGACTCCAAATGTCAGCTGAGAAATTGTAGTCGCAGCCTAAGATTATTTCAGGCGGTCGGTACCAGAGAGTGACGGTTACAGTCGTGAGATATGTTCCAACTTCACCAGGTTTGGACAGTCCGAAGTCAGCTATTTTCACAATTCCTCCACGCGACAGAAGGAGGTTCTCTGGTTTGATATCTCTGAAAATTGACGAGAACTTACAGATTGACCATATACTTTGAGTTTTTAACACATCTCAAAACACGCAATGTGTCATCCATCTTATAAATCAGCTAAAAGTCAAAACTTTTGCTGAAAAATGACCAAGATTGCTCACTAAGCACGTCAATAAACAACACAAAATCGCCGTATTTGTTCAATGCAATCTATTTTGAATGAAATCTAAGTTCTTTACAAAAAGTGTAATTTTGAGAGCATCTGGAAAGTATTCGCCACTAGCACCGACATCTTATTAGCAGCTCCGAATTTGTCACATGACCAGCAAACCTACGAGCTTTATTCCAGTTTCCCCCCTCGTAAAATTGCAAAATTAAGCTGTTCAAAAATTATTCATACGGCTTTTTGTATATAAGAAATGATGTAAACATTTGTTCACCTGTTCACGCTGACACGTTTTGATGCAGTAATTTAACCACAAGGGTAAATAGACTTTTATATATTGAATTTCAGAAAAAACAAAGGGGGACTGGAACCGCCAACCTACGTTAACCAAGAATCGTGAAAACCAAAATTTTTTTCATACTTTATGATACGGGTAAAAAATCAATGAGACGCGAAAAGATGAAAATACTTTTTGGTAAGAATTCGAACAACGCACTAGAAGACAGTCCCGCCTCTTACCTGTGCATGACTCCATTGACATGTAGGAACTCAATACCCAGCAGTGTTTGATGGATGATATGCTTGCACATCTCAGGAGTAATTATCGGCTCATACTCCACGTAATGCAGCAGACTTCTCGGCAGGTACTCGAACACCAGACACACCGAGAGGCTCTTCGGATTCTCAAGGTCATCCGGGGTCATTATGACATCGTAGAGTTTCACAATATTGGGATGTGCCAGCTTATTCAGTTTTTTCAACATTGCAACTTCTCTTAAAATATACTGCGGTATCCCAGTTGATAAATTCTTCTGATTGACATCTATTCTCTTCAGAGCAACCACTTCATCTGGACGTTCTCTGCTGACGGCCTTAAACACTTTGGCATACGCTCCTCTGCCAATTGACTCTTTGATTAAATACTGCGGAACTGTGAACGCCATGAAAGATAAGTTTTAATTCTGTAACAACAATATTGCACTTAACATAATTTATCTAAAATCGATATATCTTTTCACGCCCTATAGGCAAAGCAAAATGAATGACTATGATAAAACGTGATGTAATAATGTCACGTCTGTCAGTTCAGAAAATTGCGACATGTTTCATAATTTAAGCAAAATTGAACATAGTCAATCGAAGATAAAAAAAGAAATGAACGCTAGTAAACAAAAAAACAATGACTTTCTTGAAAAAATCTCAACTTTCGAATTTCAAAGAATTGAATAGATGCCCTTCAAGCCCTTTGAATTTCTAGAACAATTCATGATTGCCGCTTTCTTGATAACATCAACCCAACTAGAGAAAACGGGCTCAAAAAGTAAAGTTTTTATTCCGCTGGAATTCTAAAAATTAACTTCCTTTTTCGAAACTAGAAATCGCTCACTTTTTTCGCGTCATTTCCACATTCGCTCTAGGAGAGTGCTATTTACGTCACTTTCAGCAGATTAATTTCAACTGAACTCAAGAAAAGCATATATACCTAAGTGAATTCATAAATGCATCAATATGTATGAATGCACATCTCTAGTTATTAGAGACTTCTAAGACTTTTCCTGAAAAAAAAACAAACAAAAATCAGCAAGACCTATATAAGAGTCTTCACTACGTTCGATACTCTTAAACATTCAATCGGTTTCAAAATGAACAGAAATTGATTATCAAAAAACTCACATCAAATAAATTCATTTCTTGCATAAACGTTGAAAAACTGCGCTTCAACTTTATGAAAATTTTAATTGCCCGAACTATTATTAACTTGAACTAAAGGCATGCTCAATACTGAAACTATTCAAGCTGGAACTATGTCTTGACGCATCAGTCTCAATGATACAATATTTAACCTCCTGTTAAATCAGCATTACTACTCAATCAACTATTAACCTATTTACTCAGAAACTACTCCAATTGAACTAACCGGAATTAAACCTCAGTGCTTAACAGTGTTTTTTAATTAACAGCGTTTTTTTAACATTTCAACGTGCAATACTGTATAAAATTCCTGAGCTGTAAAAAAAAGCCAACGCTGATCTCACTAACTCAATTACGGCACTGTGTCACTTAGCTAGGTCGTTTTCTTCCAGCCTTCTTTGATTCAGTTCTCTCTCTGCTGAGATTCAACTATCCGCTATCTTCGTAATAATCGTTTTCTGATTGATGAGAACCAAACTTCAGCTCTCTTAGTGTAATTGTTATGCCTAAGAGTAGGCTCCTTCTATTATGTCTGTCTATTTGAGTTTCAGTTTCAGATAGAATTATGTTGTTTCCTAAAAATCCTGACGTTTTTAGTATTTCCTATGCAAGGTTTTGCACGATAATATCTCTGTTACGATTCTATACGCCACGTTCGAGATGGGCAACTCCATTGAGTTGTAGCAATCTCATTTCAACCCTAGATGTGTTAAATCAACCAACTTCACAAGAATTTTATTTATATATCCCCTTTTAAAACCTCATAGTTAATTCACCCTTCGGCCTCCGTGGCAAGAGGGAGGTCCCTTCGAAAAGTAGTTACTGTCTATATTCTAAGTCTAACCGAGCATTCTAGCTACCAGGGAAAAGAAGTTCCTCCAACGTCTTACCTACCAAGATTTATTCCAGTTTTATGGTCCATTTTCACTTTTTCAGGGAGAGGGCTAAAAACCCCGGAAGGAGCTGCCTGAGGCCGTTGGTCCACAAGGCTTTATTCAAGTTTGGTATCTTGTTTCAGTTCAGCTATTAAATCCAATATGCCCTTCCTCATTATTTCAAGTATTTTGCCCCTTTCGGGTTTACCGGATTTGGTTCAAAAATATAACACATATATCCTGCTACTATTTAGCATATTCTGAAGTTTCAACTCGCTACGTAAATGTAGGGATGAGGAATGACTGCCGGACTTCGGGTGCGGACTATTTAATCAGGGGCTAAAATCTGAAATAGGGGTCCAGGGGGTCTACTGTGCTAATCTTGAGCCTTCCTCAACTAAGTCTACAACACACTAAATTTGATCCCCGTTCCACCGTTAATTACTGAGTTTTATCAGGGCAATTTGCATTCTCGGGAACCGCCAACACTCGGACCGGTTGTCCTTGTCTGGATTTTTGCAAGCCCCGGCCATGACCGTCCTAGCATTTTAAATTCCCAATGGGGATAGGTGTATTCAGTTTTACATCCCCTCTAAACTCTTCGCAGATGAGACAATATGCTTCGACCTTTCTACCGAAGCTTAATGACCAGTCAATTCTAAGCTACATGCAACTCATTATCTTCTCTACCGCGTATCCTTTAGTCACATTTATTATAATGCACTAGAAAACCTACGAGGGTTATCCAAACGACAATGGTACCCTTAAAGATCGGGAGGTACTTTCCCTTTATATTAAGAGATGGGCAGCCCGATGCTTACCGTCGAAATGTCTCCAAGTTTACGTTTTGGCGACTTAAATTATATCATGATCGCAAAGTGGTTTTACAAGACGGGAATGTTTAATCGACTCTACCAGTGCATGACTTCAAGCGAAAACATCGAGGATGGTACTATCGATTGGAGCATGAAACCCGTACAAAGTATCACGTCGAAAACCTGCGTCCAGCGGTGTACCTTCGTAAGCCTAGACTTTAAAACTCTACAAAATATTTTGACAATATCAAACTGCTGAAAGGTACAGGTCAACGGTAAACATAGCCAACAGACAGTTGGAAAACATTCTATGAACGCAAACACAAGGAAGCAGAAAAAATGCTGACTTGTTTTTTAAAAGAATTTCAACTTTTCAAATTCAAAGAAAAAAATTATGGCCTTACATAAATTTCCAGGACAACGACACTTTTTTGATGATATTCACGAACAATTTTTTGTGACCTTTACACTTTTGCTGTTCGATACTGGAGTTTGCCTTGCTTTTTAACAAAAAAATAGTTTAAATTGAAAAAAAAAAATAAAAACAAAATTAAAAACGAGAATTGAAATGAAAGATATGTGAGCGCTCACATAATAAAAAGAACAGAGAACAAACCCGAAAAAATTGAACAAAGACAGATAAATTAAACAGCTAGATAAATTACAAAAAGACACGAACGCTGTTCAGAAAAAAAAAACCGCTAACTGATTTATACTCAGCAATAATTATTAAGAGATAAATTACTCAGCGATAATCAAAGCGATACAAATTAGGTAGACGCCAATTAAACTGAAAAATTGAGTTCTTGAGCCGTAAAAATTTTGCGCCAATTAAGAACTCGAATTTTTCAGCCAGCCCCCTTGGCGCATACAGATGCAAAAAACCGTTCTCACCTTCACGACGTTAGCTGAGTCTTTAAACCTAAGCAAATCACTTAAACAGATTAATTTTAGAGTCTGTATTGGAACAAACAAGAACAGTTTAATCGCAGAGTCGGAAATTTGAATCAGCAACGCATATTTGGAGACAACATTTGAAGACAACTCATATTTGGATCGGAAAATGCTCAAAAATGTCTGTTATCAAATGTCTATCACACCGAAGTAGAATAGGGGAAATAAATTATTATCACCAAATGAAAAAAAAATAGTTGAAAGATGTTGACAGGAAAAAGTCATGAGCCTGATTTGATAACAATTGCTAATCGAAAGTATAAATAGGGAAAACTAAAAAGAACGATGTACCCAATTATACATCTTTTCCTAAGGCCATATCGGCTTTTCCACAAAAATAAGGTGTAACTGTCTATGCAGGGAAAAATTTTATGAACCATTAACATCAGAATTGGCTGCGCAGTTATTGAAAAAAATACAAGAAACGATCGAAACCACAAAAATTAAAATTTTTTATAACATAACATTTTTTCTACTAAAGTTAGGGCGTAAAGTTCCGCAAACTTTTAAGAGTGAGCCTGTAGGCGCGGCGCCACTTATGCAGGGAAGATTCCCATAACCTCTTTCATCTATTGAACTGTAAATCTCAGATTTGTCAGGGTAGCTTTCAAGAATGAAAAAAAAAACTGCAAACCGTGAAAAATGACCTTTTCCCAAAAATAACAAGTTTTTCTTAAAACAACTAAGGATTTGCTGTTTCTACAGGAAAAATTCTCGTAATCGTTTCCTTCGATCGGACCCTTAATCTCAGATTTGGTAAATCGTAAGAAATAATACAATTGACTTTACCGAAGGATATAACTTTTTTGTATAAGAAAATAGGTCAGAGCCAATATTGCAGCAAAGAACCGCCCATTCTGTTATTTCGACTGACCCACCAATCTGAGAAGTGGGAAGGTAGTCTTCGAGAAAAATCAAGTTTTCAAAAAACGGTCAACGGTTAAAATATATGACTTTTCCGACAGCCACAACCCACATCTTTTTTTAATTTAAGATCACGGCCGCTTGTGAAGGTAGGATTCCCACAAGCGGGTTTTTGGTATTGAATGCTCACCGTGATTGACAGGATTAGAAAAAAAACGGTTAGAAAAATTATTCCGAACAATTAATCCTTTAATCCTAGCTATCTCAATTAATTCTTTAATCCTAGATTTGAGCCTGTAGTTTTTGAGAGCAGTCGAAAAGTTTTAACTATCAGAAATTTGGTTGGTCGTAGGACCATAAACTTTTGTGTACAAAAATTTGGACTTAGCCGCTGATTCAAGTGAGCTTCCCGCAACACGTTTTATAACGAATCCAAAATCTCAAAACAGCGGTGTGACAAAAAAAAACATGAAAAAGACACAAAAAAATGAGTCAAAAATGAGACACAGAGGCGAAGCTGCGCTTCTCAAACGCTAGCGAGAGCACAAAAAAGCAGATCTATAGAGAGCAACTATATCGACAAAATCAACTTGATTTATTTTTATTTTAAATTTTTCCGATTTACAAAAAGTTGAATATTATACAGGGACAAGTGCGCGAAATCGGTCCTTGAAAAAATTATAAGCCAATGCATCAAATGGTTCATTGAATCTGCTAGATTAGTTGTAAGCCTGGAAAAGGTTATTATATAATCTAGATTATTACATCAACTAGATTATTATATAACCAAAAA